ATAATCGCGCTTACTTGAAAATTAAATAACATAACTGAATTAAAAAGGCATAAACTAAAAGATCTCGACGGAGATTTTACCCCCTTTACACTCACCTTGTACCCGGTGTAGCCGACTCTGATTAGACTCTTAAAATTTCAAAATTCCTCCTATAATATTCTCCTTGCTTCCACGGTTCCATCGGCGCAGACGGTTCGTCGATCAGACGTCAATTGATCGAGTTATGACCAAAATAAATATTTTGTCAGTTTAAAAGTGCCAGGTACCGAAACTGTAATTCTCCAGTCAACATAGTTGACCACGGCCTATCTGGAAAAATTGAAGATTTAATCCACAAACTTTTCGAATTGACAAGATTAGTACCTGGACTATTCGATTTGCATCCCAAACTTTCGAGGCTCGTATCTCCCTCGTCCAACGTCGAAACTCGATTCCGCCAAAACCGGGGTGTTCCTGAGATTGTCCCCTACGCGATGGTACCAAGTTTTTGAAGATTTGTTGAATTCAATGATGTCGGTGCCGTTGACGTACTGTCCGGCGAGACCTTATCGTCGACCATGGTTCAAGAACACGGACATGAGTTACTTTCCAACGACTGATTCGGATCAGGGGAGATCGAGCTCGAGGTCCTTACCAGAGTGCGAAGAGGGGAGTTTAACGATTGGTGTTGGAGACATGGTCTTGCGATTGGAGTGACGACGATGACGTACGATGGAACGGAAGAAGAACTTGATGGCGGCTCCTGTTGTTCGGTTTCCCTCGTGGGTATTGGCGTCCCTTTTTTTTCTACCTTTATTTGCTTCCGTCCTCTCTGCTTCCTAGGGTTAATTTACGGTAGGGTTGAGAAACTCATATTAAGAATGTTACAGGGGGGTTTTAATAGAGAAGAGAGAGATGGTAACGGGTGGAGAGTGTGAGAGGGAATGGGGAACAACCCACGGTGGTGGGGAGGGATTTCTCACTTTTTTTTAATCCCATGACAACAATATAATATAATAATATTATTATTACTAATTCGCGGATTTAACCCTTCGTACTTAACCGTCGATCCAACCGATCACGTATTAAGGTCAAACCTAAATCTAAAGTATCGGGGTGTTACATATACAACGTGTAAATTATACATAGTTATATAATCAAGTATATAGTTATTCAATTATTGTACCATGCATGGATGATACTCAATTATATTATTTTAACTCTAGACAAATGCAGTTTGTATAATTTAAAACTCCCGAGGAACTTTCCTTTATTACCCACTAGATGCATGCAATTATATATTGGTTGTATTATCAAGTATATACGCCTTCAATTTCTATACCAAGCACAAATATATGCTTTCAATTTTTAAACCATGAACAAATGACACTTAGTTGTATTCTTTAATGTATATGCAAATGCAGGAAAAAATTCTAAAATACACATGTTTTTAAAAAAATTCCCAAAATACACACGTTATAAAAAAAATTCTCAAAATACACATGTTTGGGCATCACCGCTGTTGTCAACCGCAATGATTGCATTCACCGCGGCCGTCAACCACGGTGATGCATTCACCGCTTTTGTCGGCCGCGGTGAATGCATCACCGCGGCTGCCTAATGTAACACTGAAACTTCAAACAAACGTAACTTTGCGCTCGGTTATCCGATTATAGCGAAAAAAATTTTGATTCCACATAACTTTTCAAGAACTTTCAATATGCAACAAGACTTCATCCCCAAAGAAATTCGTTTGCTACCCCGAACGAGCAATTTTTCGATTTTGACAAACTTTGGAAGACCATAACTTTGTGCTCCACAATCCGAATGTCATGAAACTTTTTTTGATTTCGCATAACTTTTGAAGTAATACAACTTTTATTATAACCATAATTTTGGAAAGTATGTGAATTTGTGAAAAGTAAAGGCAAAGTTATTGCCAAAATCCCGTATACCCAAAAACATTTCTTTTTTTAAAAATTATTTCCTAGTAAAAGTTGTAGTTCTTAAAAAGTTGTGCGCAATAAAAAAAACTTTACGACATTCGGATTGACGAGCTAAAAGTTATGGCCTTCTAAAGTTTGGAAAAATCAAAAAATTGCTCGTTCGGGGTAACAAACGACATTTTTTTGACATTAAGTCTTTCTTCAGATTGAAAGATCTTGAAAAATTATATGGAATCAAAAACAAATTCGCTACAATCGGATAACTGAGCGCAAAGTTACGTTTGTTTGAAGTTTCAGTGTTACGTCAGGCATTCACCGCGGCCGTCAACCGCGGTGATGCATTCACCGCGTTGGTCTGCCGCGGTGAATGCATTCACTACGGTTGACAACAGCGGTGATGCACAAACATGCGTATTTTGTGAATTTTTTTTATAATGTGTGTATTTTGAGAAATTTTTAAAAAAATATATGTATCACATATTGCATCGTTAATCCAACAAGTGAGTACACGATTTTCAGGATAGGAAAGGAGGAGAAGAGCATAAATCAAACGATCTTCCTGACTTGATTGAGGTAAATTATACTTGCATGAAAATGATGATCAATATTAATTATAAAATTGTAATATTCTCCATTGGATTTGGAGTATATTTGTAACATGCACCCTCTGGTGATTATTTAACTAACCTTCCCACCATGTCTACTTCTCACATGTTGATTTTACAATGCAATTACTTGCGTCTATAATCCACTAAATTAACTGCTATAAACTGTATACAACGTGTAAATTATACATAGTTATATAATCAAGTATATAGTTCTTCAATTATTGTACCATGCATGGATGATACTCAATTATATTATTTTAACTCTAGACAAATGCAGTTTGTATAATTTAAAACTCCCGAGGAACTTTCCTTTATTACCCACTAGATGCATGCAATTATATACTGGTTGTATTATCAAGTATATACATCTTCAATTTCTATACCAGGCACAAATATATGCTTTCAATTTTTAAACCATGAACAAATGACACTTAATTGTATTCTGTAATGTATATGCAAATGCATGTCGTTTATAACATAATACTCCAGTGGAACTTTGTTTCCTCTCGCACTAACATGCTAGCAATTGTATCCAACTAACATTTTAACTATATTAAACCCCTATGATTCTAGACAATCACAACATATATTCTGCTTTTGAATGTGAATGATCTTAATTCAAAATGCTAGTGCAAGAAAACAGGAATGACACTGTTAATGATGGATGTACGGGATCGGTGCTAGAGATGACAATGATCTTAAGAAGAAGAAATACATTTTTCATGAGGAAGATACAAGTACCAGTGATGAGGAGAAAGAACAATTTTTTAGGTATTGTTCATAATTTGGACGAGGTAAATTCTACTCCAATGAAAAAGATAATTGGTATTTGTAAATATTTTACCATCAAATTTTTGCGATCAATAAAATGCATGAAAACAAGGAAGAGATTACTGAAATGCAAGAGAAGAAGGTAGAGGAAATTGACAATGGAGATAAATGTATCGCTAATGGAGATGACATTATTATTGGTGCAGATGATGATGTTGCTCATGACGGAGGAAGTGCAAATAAGTCAACATGAAAATGTGCAGTAATCTCTCACGACGAGGAGTAAATAGAAGGGTGATTTTAAAATGACTTTAGGAGTCGGTATGAGTTTGCCTTTCATTTCCGTAAAAAGATTTTAGGGGTCGTTTGGATGAGGAATTCTAATGGATCAATCTGACACAATTGTCTCGTTTTGAGTCAATTGTGCTAGATTGATCCGTTTGGCAGCAGAAAATTTGGATGAAGCAATTTGGGCTAGGAAATTCTGAATTGACTCATTTTGAGCCAATTACAATTGTCTGGGGTGGGGGCAGGTAATCTGAATTGACTCGTTTTAAATGACTCGTTTTGTAAAATGGAACAATTGGTCAAATTGTCTCGTTTTACAATTGGTCAAATTGTCTCGTTTTAGTCAATGAGTGAGTTACAATGTCGAAAAACTCTATGATATTGATCATTTTGAATTGTTGAAGTACTTTAATAATTTGAGTTCTCTTATCTACCAATCAATTTCAATATTTTGAGTATTTGAATACTATCTATTTTTTAAACTATTAAAACCCGTGTATCTCACATGCAATTTTATAATATTGTTTCTGTGATTGACCACTGAATCCGGCCAACTAGCCCGGCCCGCGACTAGTTAATTGAAAAAAGTTATTTGCAAAGACAAGATTCACTGTTCGCCTAGACACGGAATTACTATTCATTTAGACTCAATTTTACTGTTCACCACCATTTTATTGGTCGTTGGTCTGCAGTTGGTCCCGCTTGGTATTTCTTAATTGGTTGCCTATTTGGTTGTGGCCATTGCGGTTTTGGCTACGGTGGTTTCTCTGAGATACGCGTTGCTCTCAGCTGCGCCCTAATTCCCTCTTCGCTTTTTTTTTATTGTGTTTCTCGGCTATTCCCCGTCGATCTTTGTCATAATCATTGCATTTGTTGTTTCCGCTCTCTCGCCTTGCGTGTTGATGTTTGGCTTTCGGAATTGATGGTAATGATGGGCCTTTGTGGAGAGCAAGCCTGTCTAGGACTGCCTAGATATCTGAAACCCGCCGGTTTTGCGTGCTGAATTTTTTTCCCGCTTCTTTATGTTCTCCCTCACTGGCGGTTCCTCTATTTGACGTCGTCCTTATCTCTTCGGCGGACCGCTATTTCGGTTTCTTTACGTTACTATTGGGCCGATAACTGACACGAGCCGCCCTTACCCCTTCTAATTCTTTCTCTGATTTATATGTTCTTTTTTTAATTTAGCGGCAGCAGTTCATCATTCCGCTCTGGTCTCTCCCCGTCATTCTACTCTCTTTCTAAACGTTGTTGTTGTTCTCTTCGGTTCTCTTCGTCTCGGAGGATATGGAGTTCACGTTGCTTTGCAACCTTGGCGGCCCTCGCAATGCTAGTGTTTCTTTACGTCTTCGTTTGCTGCATGTGTGGCCGTCGAAGTCTCCGGGGGATATTAGGATTTACAATTACTGTACTCTTTGGACCGATGAAACGATGCGCTCTCTGCTCCTGTGCGGCGATATTTTCATTTTTTGTTCTGTCGTTGCCGCTATATTTTTTTTCCCCAATCACCGTGGTGTGTTCTGCGCAGGGGACGCTGATTCACGGTGTTTCGCCGACTTCAATGGCTGCTGCGATCCGTCGTAACCTTTCTGTTGGGAAGATTTATGTTGTAAAGTCCTTTGGTTTGAGCAACCCGCCGAATCAGTATCGCCCATGTTCCTTTGATTTGTCTTTGGGTCTCTCGCCCTCGACTTCCTTTCAGGCCTGTGGTCTTCCTGCTGAGAGTTTTCCGGTTGATGCGTATGAGTTTGTGTCTTTCTCCCAGTTGAGTTTGAGTGCTGGTAATCACCGTTTCTTGACAGGTTAGTGGGTATTTTTGTGCTGGCTTCTTATTGATATGCATGTGTTTGTGTATATATGAATGTTTTTTATTGTGTTTTGATGTTTTGACTTCATTTTGTTTTCGTAGATGTCGTTGGCCGACTCCATTCAATCAATGGGATATCGCATAAAATCACTAATAATGGCCCTGCAGTCAAGCAGACGGTTATCATCGAGGATGAAAGGTTCTCTCGCTTTTCTACGGTTCTTGAGTTTACCTGTATGGTTTTAGTTTCTTTTGTGTTGTTCCTCATGTATTCCCGTGTTTTTTCTTCCCAGTGGAGCGAAGATTACTATTACACTCTGGGATGAGTTTTCTGCGGTGTTGGACCATGTTGCACTTACTCAGGCTAACTCGATTGAGGTTGTGATTCTCGCTTTTGGTGGTTTGCTGGTTAATAAGTTGGGAGGTGTGTTTTTTCCCCTGGAGTGCATGTATCTTTATCGGGGTTATTCAAGGAATGTTGATGTCTGCTGATTTTTCTATTTCTTTTGTTTTCTGTTTCAGATGATTATATTCTCTCGAGCTCAGCTGGTACACGCATAGCAGTCAACCCTCCTGTACCAAAGGCTTACTATCTTGCATCTAGGTGAGTTGGTTGTGGCCATTGCTGATTTTGTGTGGTCTGTTTGGGTGTTCGTTTTATGCAGGAGTGACAATATAGTTAAGTTTATGCTGCTTATGTTTGTCTTAGGTTTGCTGAAAAGCACGAAGTTGTTGAGTCCTTGCTAGTGGAATTTGCCTCTGTTGCTGATGCTGCTGCTGATGTAGATCGGCGTACCAAGAGCCTGGACCAGTTGCTGAGCTTGTCTCGAACGAATTCCTCACTGGTTTATTGCTACTCTTTTTGAAAAGTTTAATGTTCGTCTTTTTCTCCCTTGGGAATGAATGAGTTTTCTTTGCTTTGCTAGGAAGAGAAGTATCGTTGTGGTGGAGTGATCGTTGATATCGAGTCGGGTGCTCCTTGGTATTACATTTAATGCTATGCTCGCGAGCAATTTCAAAGAGTTGAGACAATACGTTTTGGTGTCCAAAAGACTGGCAGCTGGAAGAGGAGCAAACTCGGGTCAAGTATGTCTGCGTATTATTTGCGTAGATCTCTTGGCTGTTTCAAGTTTTTTTCCTAACGTATTTTTTTACTCAGTTATAAACTCCAACTTACTTTGAGGGATGACTCTTGCGAGGCCCTGTTCATTCTGATGGGTGGCTGTGCCCATTCGTTGGTTAATGTTTCTGCTGCACATCTGGCCCAGCGGTTTCCTCATCGTCCTGGTCAGTTGCCCCCACAGTTGCATCAATTGCGAGGACAGTATGTCAAGTTTGATTGTAAGTTACCATTGCCTGGTCCTACTGGCTTCTCTTCGGGTGAGTTCCGTGTAACTCAGGTTGTCCCGCTTGATGATCCTACGGTGGTTGGCGATTTGCTCGAGTTTTCTTCACAATCTCTGTTACGTGGTTCTATTGCTGCTGTTCCGACTTTGACCATGGGTGCAACAAGTGTCGCGGGTGGTTCTTCGACTTCATCTAGGTTGGTGTTGGCTGTTTTGTTTTGCTGTTTATGTTCTCTGGTTTGTTGGCTATGCCTTATGAACTGTTTGTTTATGTTCTGAAGGGTTGCCAAGGGAAAGGAAAAGGTTTCAGGTCCTCTACTCACTGAGGTTTCAGCAGCCCCGTTTAGTATCACTGAAGGGCCAGATGAGACTGTCAGGTATTCACATTTCAAGCGATACTTATTCTGGTCATTAGTGGAATTGTTGGAGAATGTGTCCTAAGTTATTTGCCATTTTTTTCCAGTCCGATAGCTGAGAATTTACATATTCCTTCTCCTGCAAATATCGGAAGCAAAGGTATTGTTGCTGGCCCCAGGAGTCTCGGGGGATCTCATCCTTCGGGGATTAGTGTATAGGCTGGCTCTAGCCCAGCTGTTGCGGCTGTACCCGTTTCTTCTTCAGCCCAGTCCTCTACACCATCCGGCAGGTCTACTTTTTCGCTGATTACCAAGCGTACATCTGGAATCGATGAGTCTGCCAGCCCTGAGGATGTTAGTCGTGGTTCGTTGATACCTGCTGCAAAGATTCTGAAGCCATCCCCTGAGTCATCTCCTGGGAAGACCTCTGGTTTAGCCTCTGGCTCTTCGCCTGCGTCATTGTAGGTGTTCACAAGTTAGTTAAGTATTTTTCAAAGTTTTTATGTTCTTCCCACGATATTCATTGCTGAGAGGTATGTTTGGTTCAAGGTTGGTTTCTCCACTCGCCAAGATAAAGGTGGAGAAGTTAGACGATGCTGAGGCTCCTCCACTGCCACACGGCGGTTCCTCACAGGCAGGTGCTGAGATGGAAGGGGATTCCCCAGTTGACAGTCAGAAGAACCCAGCTGCGAAACGTCCTCTGTTCAAGAGGTGATGATAGCGTCAAGGTCTTTTCTAATTTTCTTTGTTTGTTTTGATTTTCTGTCGTGTTTCATTTGCGGTTAGGATCCTGTGGCTGCTATGTATCTTATTCTTTCGCTATTTATTTCATTGCAGGAAGTAGATATGTTTTGGACTGAAATTTTCATTCATGGGTCCGATTCTTCTCTGCGTGGTTGATGACGTTCCCAGAAATGCTGGTTCCTAACTTTCAAGGAGATGACATATTTTGTATAGTTTACGCAAGTTATTCTCCTTGTTTAGACAATCATATTTTGGATATCTAGGTTTCGGGAATGCAATGCTTGTAGTTGCATGGATATTCTCATTTTGGATCTTGGGTTCCGAGAATGTAATGGCTGCATCAGTGTGGATATTATCAGGAGATACACTGCTTCTGTGCACTTGGTTTATATAGCCTTCTATCTTTTGTTGGGTGACCAGCACGTAATCAGTTAGTGTTAGCTCATACGTTGTTGATGTTTACACGGTGCCTCTGTGCATTTTGATTTTCCTAAGGCTGCTGCCTAGAAGTGATTGCCTTCATTTAATGTTGTTTAATGCTAATATGAGCAAGGTCGTGTTTCTGTTTTCCGTAGTATCTGGTCATTCTTCCCTTAGAATACGTTCACTGTTGACGGAAGGAGGAAGGGGAGTTTATGTCAATGTCTCCTGAGCAATTCGAATAGAGGCACTGTCATTTTTGTGGAGCCTATAGACTGTATCCAGAATTGTTAAATTGCAATTTGGTAACACTTTGTATAAGTTCGGACTAACTACGCATGTTTCAAACGAACAAAACGTTTGTTCCGATTTATAATACGACCAATATTATGAGAACATCTTTCTTATCTTTCTTAGACCTCTTGATATTTCTTACTTATTATAATGCAACCTCTTTTTGTGCGAAAGATTAAACTAAGCTGATAGCTTTCCATCATTTTATTAATCCAACAACATGTTAGATCTTTTCACACTATAATGATATTATAAGGATCATACATGGCTCACATATCCATGATAACTATTTCATATTAGTATACATCTTCTTCCTCAATGGATTGTGTCACTTTCTCCAGGAACTACCTTTACTTCATCATATTTCATCTGTCATATGTTCATTTATATCCTTTGTTTGATGGGCTAAATAGAACAAAGGTAACCTGCGTTTTTATCTGACATTCTCATTGGTGAGTCTGGCGAATGAGTGAGAATGATTTCTGTGATCTTCCTTTAACTCTTCCTCACTAAAAGCATTGGATTCATATATTATTGTCTCGGTTATACTATTCGTACATCCCAACAATAATGATTCTGATCATGTTTGATTTCTGTTTTCCCTGTGCAGCAATGCCTCCCAAGAAAAGAAAGACTCAATATCAAACTTTGACGTAAAAGAGCCAGAATTGAAATTATGGAACATCCATCGCAAGGTTCAGTGGTTCCTGAGACATCATTTGGGGCCGTATATCCTGTGCCTGAGAATGATATACAGGAATCATCACGGTCTCTTCGTCGAGTCCTACCATCATCATCAGGTGATGAATGCACTGCCACCATAACATTGTTATTTGAATTATAAGATTCTCATGAAGCCATCAAGCATTATCAATCTTCGATGATATAAAAGCTTTATTGTAATGTTCTCTTTTGTGTGCATTGCACTTATCAGAATCTTCAAGGCCAAGGAAATCGCGCTACCAGACTTGGAAACATTTGGCCTCTAAGAATACAACGAGCCATATTTCTTCTCTGGAACAGGGGGAATCCAATGTAGTTGCTGAATGTAGCGAAAATAACAATCAAGTGCAGCAAGCTGAACAGCGGAAAACTGGTAGTTGCCGGTTTCAGAACTCATCTGGAACCCCATCCTGTTTTAGGTCCATTCCCATGGCTAGAAAGCCACTCCATGATGATATTCTGAACATAGGTCAACCAAAATGTGTCTGCAAGTTCTGTGGTGCTTTGTTTTGGGATTTGGAGAGGCTTGATCGCCGCCGAGCAACAACTGATCCTATCTATGGACTTTGCTGTTAGAAAGGCCGTGTTGGTTTTCCATATATAGCCCAACCTCCGCGGTTGCTGGCTGAGCTTCTGCAGTTTGATGGTGGCGCCATGTCTAAGCATTTCATAGATAACATCAGACCATATAACGGTTCATTGTGTTTTACATCATTTGGTGCTTCTATTGACCCTCGCTCTCTTTCTGGTAGGGGGCCGTATTCGATGGTTATATGTGGAGAAAACTATCATAGGATCGGTTCATTGTTGCCTCCTGATGGTGAAAAACCAAAGTTTGCCCAGCTTTATATTTTTGAACCGGAGAATGAAATCGACAATCGCTTGGCGAACTTTGCATCCCGTGATGGTCTACTTATGCCAGAGCTGCTCACTTCATTGCTCCAAATGCTGGATCAACATAATCAGCTCGTCAAAACCTTCAGGCGAGTTCGGCAGCAGCTTCAGGATTCTTCGACAACGAATTTAAAGCTACAAATATTTGGAGCGAAGAGCAGGAATCGGCAATATGATTTGCCTAGCAGCACTGAAGTTGCAGCGCTTATACCAGGTGATTTCGTACCAGACAGAGATGATCGCGATATAATAGTTGATCATGTCTATGAGGGTTTGAAGAGGATTACGAGTCTCAATCCAAAATTTGATGCGTTACATTTCCCACTTCTATTTCCATATGGAGAGGATGGTTACCATCCACTCATCAAATACAGGTCAGCTTTCTGCCCGCCTTCTATGCGGAGGCAGTTTGTTACTCAGCGCGAGTATTATGCATTCAGGCTTCAATATCGCAATGGCGAAGGTCACACGATTGTTCAGGCTGGAAAAGCTCTTCAGCATTGTTTGTATTGACGCTTACTCATCGATTGAACTAAACAGGCTAGCTTTTTTGCGCTATCATCAACCACAGCTTAGAGCCGAGGTTTATCAAGGACTACAGGATGCATGGCACGGGGTGATCTTGACGGAGATAAAATGGGACATATTGTACTCACAGGTACCTATATAGGTATCCCGAGGTATATACAACAACTATATCATGATGCCATGGCAGTGGTCGAATTCTTTGGAAATCCTGATTTATTCATCACATTCACCTGTAATTCTTTGTGGGAAGAAATCACCGAGGCCTTTCATGATGTTGTTGGTCCAAATAGCTCAGATAAACCGATGGTGGTTTCAAGGGTCGTCCACATTAAGCTAAGCACTCTCATAGATGACATTAAGAAAAACTCCTACTTTGGAAAAACAATTGCAAGTAAGTATAGGTTACTCATTTTATATCAATATTCAAGATCCGCAAGTTCAGTGCTTTCCAAAACACATGTTTGGATATTTGCAATTCTAACTTTGTTTACTCTGTGACAGTTATGTATACGCTGGAGTTTCAGAAAAAGGTTTTGCCCCACATACATCTGCTGGTTTGGTTGTCTGAAGAGAATAAACTGAGGACGACAGAAGACATTGACGAGGTAATCTCAGCCGAAATTCCAGATCCTCAACAAGATCCGGTTGGATATGAAACAGTCTGTAAATTCATGTTGCATGGCCCATGTGGTGAAGCAAATTCCAATGCACCGTGTATTCGAGACAAGAGAAAACGCGCGAATGGTAAATGTTCCAAACAATTCCCAAAGGAGTTCAGCTCAGCCACAACATTTGACAAGTTTGGAAATGTAGTCTATAGAAGATCAAACACTGGCGTCGAGGTACAAAAGGGAAGTATGACACTTGACAATCGACATGTTGTTCCATACAACAGGAATTTGCTTGTCAGAATGCAGGCTCATATAAATGTCGAGGTATGTCACAAAGGTAAACTTATCAAGTATCTCTTTAAATATGTGACAAAAGGACCAGACAGATCACTGGTAATTGCTGAAAACGCTGATGCATCGCAAAATAATCCAGAAATGCAATCTGAGAGGCACAAAGATGAAATCCAACAGTACATAGGCTGCCGATCATTGTCTGCTTATGAAGCCATATGGAGACTTAATGAGTATCCAATTCATGTAAGAGAACCATCAATGGTGCGTTTGGGAGTTCACTTGGATGGACAGCAAAAAGTACCTTATAAGAAACAGTCCAATGTGCGAAATGTTTTGGGGAATCCTAATGTCGGAAAGACACATTTGACAGAATGGTTTGCTCTTAATCGCAGGGATCCTCAAGCAAGAGTCTTGACATATGCACAGATACCAAATAATTACACCTGGCTTCCTGATTGTAAAGAATGGAACACTCGCAAAAAGGGATTTGCGATAGGGAGGGTTGCATATGTTCCACCAGGTTCTGGTTATGTATTTTTCCTCCGAATGGTGCTCACAAAAGTCCGTGGCGCTCTCAGTTATGCTCATCTCAGAACTGTCAATGGAGAACTTTGTCCAGATTTTGAAAAAGCTTGTGAAAAGTTGGCTCTATTATCAGATACTTCAGAATGGATACGTGTTCTGTCCGATATTTCGACTTCCAGCATGCCACGGGTGATACGGAGCACTTTCGTGTCAATGCTCATGTTCTGCGAAGTTCCAAGTCCAATAGCTTTATTCAATTCGTCATGGAAATCAATGGCTGAAGATTACGCGTATAGGCTAACGAAAGATCTCAAAGATCAAACTCAGAAGCCCAGTGATGAACGACTACAAAACTGGGTACTCCGTGAATTGCAGGCTATGTTGAGCTCTCATTCAATGACACTTGAGGACTTTAATCTCCCAACCCCAACTGATGGTTCACATGAAGATGGAGAGAATCCACTCATTAACGAGCATCTGGCCTTTGATACTAATCAGCAACATGCACTAGCAACCTCTATGCTACATTCATTGAATCCTGAGAAAACTAATGTATATACATCTGTCATCAATTCAGTCCTCAACAAGATGGGTCGGGCATTCTTCCTGTATGGTCACGGAGGTACTGGCAAAATGTACCTCTATAGTATCATTACAGCAAGGCTCAGGAGTTTGGGGAAGATAGTTGTACTGGTTGCATCATCGGGTATAGCAGCAACACTACTTCCCAAAGCGACCACTGCACATTCAAGGTTCAAAATTCCACTGATTCTAGATGCAACATCGACATGCCCTATTAAACACGGAACAGATTTAGCTGATCTGTTAAAAGAAGCATCCTTAATCATTTGGGACGAAGCACCAATGACCCATCGGCAGGCTTTCGAGGCAGTAGATCGCAGTTTGTGCGACATATTGAATGTTCCACTGAATGGACATCACTATAAACCTTTCGGAGGGAAGACAGTTCTCTTTGGTGGAGATTTTCGCCAAACACTCCCAGTTATAACTGATGCTGGACGTGAACAAACGATTGATGGCTCATTAACTAGGTCCAAGCTATGGAATACTTATAAAGTGATGTGCCTATCGACAAACATGTGCATAACAGCGGTCCACTCTGCTGACCAACACCTAATGCATGGATACACGTTTCCAGAATGGGTCCTTGCCTTAGGAGATGGGAGACTTAGAGCAAGATCGTTCAGAGAAGATGGGCCATCAGATTGGATACAAATACCACCACTATTCCTAATTGATCCCGGGGATGACACTGTTAAGTCAATCGCAGATGATATATATATATGATTTGTTTCCTGACAATCACAGGGATCCAGCATACCTAACCAGTAGAGCAATAGTGACGCCAACGAATGCGACGGTCTCTAGAATCAATGACTATATGCTGCAAAGGGTACCATGTAACACAAAAACATATTATAGTTCAGATTCACTGCAGTTATCAACAGAAACAGCAGATTCGTTTGACGAAAGCTATCCGACAGAGTTCCTCAACACTCTCACGTTCAATGGAGTTCCAGACCACGAGCTTATATTAAAGGTATGCACGCCAGTCATGCTCCTGCGTAACTTAAACCCTGCCCTTGGTTTATGCAACGACACAAGGATCATGATCACAACATTAGGGGATAATTTTATAAAAGGCAACATCATGGGCGGTTCTTATGACACTGACGAAGTCATTATACCAAGAATAGTGCTCAATATAGAGAACTCCAAGTGGCCCTTCATACTCAGGAGGAGACAGTTCCCAGTACGTTTATGTTACGCAATGACCATAAACAAGAGCCAAGGGAAAACACTTGAAAAAGTAGGGATTTATTTGCCTGAACCCGTATTCAGCCATGGCCAGCTATATGTGGGGGTTTCGAGAGTAAAATCAGCGAAAGGTTTGAGGATTCTTATACAAAACCCAACAGAAATACCTTACGATTTTACAAGAAACATAGTCTTCACTGAAGCCTTTGCTGATATTATGAACACCTGAACCATGTATGAGGTGAGTTCGTTAAACTAAACAAATTATTCGATACTTCTGCTAGCAAAATTTCCTAATAAAAACTATGTGTTTTATAGGATTGCAACAATACCTTGATGCAGCCATGTCAATCCAAAGAGGTCAATGCCATGTCTCAAATATAGCCCATTTTGCTAGGATTAGAGCAATATCCTGATGCAACCATGTCAATCCAAATAGAAAATAAATGTATCCGTCTCTGTTTTTGGGAATTAGTTTTTCAGGGCTGCTTAAATAGTTTGCTTTAAGTCAAGAAATATCATCGGTTGAATAATGGATCAAATAGTTTGTTAACTCTCGATAATTGCAAACATTTCAAGCCCATTAAAATTTTTGAGTCCATACTAATACATTGGATTTATTATGACCCAAGCGGGTTCGGCCTGAAACGCTTACCAAAACCGAGGCCCCGTTTTCCTACGTTTTGATGGTCATGGAATGATATTAAGCCCAACCCGAAGATGCTTTAGGATTACAGATAAAAGCCCATGGGAAACCGCCCCAAAATGAACACTTCCTTTTAAAACCCTAACTGCCTTCATCAACCAGATCCGCCGTCCACATTTCCATCAGCTTTGCTCCGCAACGGAAGCCCCACCACCGAAACTACACGACAGCCTTTAAAACAAAGGTAACTCCACGTCCTCCTCTTCCTCACCGTCTTCACACTTGGGAATTAACTTCTGATCGTCACTCACGTTGTTTGCATAAAGACCCCACCAAACATGGAGGGTTTGGCCAAAAACCAGCAGTCAACAGAGGATGCTCACATGGTCCCCACCGACAACAAAGGTGAATACCTTCCATTTTTTTTAAAGAATATTCCCAGGAATCTCGGATCCTCTGCTAAAAACATAAAATACGTATTTCATTTCCCTATACTGTCTTATTATAGATCCGATCGAAGCTTGCATGCCATTTCGGGGCTTGCGTTTGGGCACCAACGTTCGCATAGTAATTGCTAGGCCTGTGATTACATGGCTCGAATACCGAGAGGCACCCAAGCTTAAAGATCTCAGCATGCACATGATCTGGATAGATAAAAAGGTTTGTTCGCATTTTAGTTACAAAACTGCACAATCTTTTCATAAACTATTTTAAACCAATATAATGCACAATTTGGAACCGTTTAACGGTTTTTCTTATAGGTACGATTGATTGAGTCAATGGTTGATGAAAAAGACATCGCCGAGATTTCTCGCAAGATAAAGGTCGGGAACCTTTATCGGTTTGATTCGGTTAAAGCAATACCAGCAAGAGAGAATCCAAAGATCGTTCCAGGAGAGTTAAGAGTGCACATAACCGCTGATCAAAACATTTCAAGGATTGAGGAGGACCCTGATGAGCCATGCTTGCCTGTTGGCTGGGAAATTGGGATGGCTTTTTCGATGGTACCACTTCAGACAAACACCATCGACTATCATACAGGTACACTAGCTATATCCATTCACCATAGTAAAATGAACTTAAGCTTTTAAATGACAAACTTTTCCGTTGCTTATAGACATCACCGTATGCATTAGGCGTCTCAGTGTTCCCACAACAGTTCGCAGTACTCTCAAAGAATTTCACATGGTCGTACAGGATGTGAGGTACATTTTGTAGAATAGAATCTTGAATTGCGAATCATATGAATAAACAACCTCACATATTCGTGTCGCTGAAAATGGCGCTAAGGAAACTGTTCGGTATCGTGGATACGATATACCAAAGTTCTTAGAGAACGCCCCGACAACTGAGGCTCATCTGCCTCTAATTGTTACGATCAAGTCTGTCATTCGGGTGGCACCTCTATCCAGCCAGAAATACAAGTATCGGTTCGAATCCACTCCGGCCAGTGCACTCATAATCAGATCTTATACAGTCCCAGTCCAGGAGATAATGCACATGTACATTTAGTTTGACAGAATCCTTTCCATTTTTTGAATCATACTTTTTGTCAGTCGGCCAAAACAAATTAAATTAACACTTTTGGGTCTTTTTTGCTGCAACCAGTTTCCTTTACAGTCGCAGGCAAGTTTACTACATGGATGCCAATACCAGTAAGAAAACAAACTGCCTTCGATCAGGAATCGAAAAGAAGACACTCACTGACATGGAAACCATGCTTGCATCTTATCAGACTTCCCACAAGGTTCGTAAGAGACAAAACATATAGCAAATTCCTATACTGTGCACCTGCATTTTTCGTAGACACATGTCTTATCAATATCTAATGTTCATACTAGGTACTCTATCGTGCTAAGTTCTTCATCTCACAGATGAAATTTTGAAAAGCCATATGTCGAGCAACTGAGGACTGACCAGAGTAAGTTTTCTATTTCAACATGACAATTACATCTCATGCAAGTCAATCTATCTGCGAATAAGCTAACAGATTTCTGAACTTATATTTATAACTAGGCTGCACTATGAGTTGGAGGTCAAATGCAAGCAAGGAGTTGATAGTATTGATGCCATACTGGACCATGAGGCTACGCTCTCAATAATAGGAATGTCACCCAGCAAATACAAGAAACTCGATGCAGAATCGGCCAAGGCGTTACTGATCAAAAGATGTAGCAGAATGTTTGCAGGAGAGCTCTACATCGGTTCGTCAGATCTGAAGAACAGAACTACGACAGCAATACCACACATAAGAGTAGCAACACTTTGGCATACCTCAAGGATAAACAAGTGACCATCAGCACCGTTGACAGAAAGACCTACTGAAGTATCCTATCCACCCCTAGAATCCTCCATTTTGAATTGAAGTTTCTATTCCCTATCTTCAATGAAGACAAAACAATGGCAGATGCGTTTGTTTGTGTGCTGTGCACAAACTTTTAAATTTCATGGAGGGCATCAAGTACTGTCGTTTCTTAATATGTCCTGACAAACTAAATTTCCAATACATTTCTGCGCATTCTGCCGCAGTAAATCTCAACTATTTGCGAATAGTATAGCAAAAAGAACATGACAAAATCCACAAAACGACTGGAGTCAGACTTACCCCGCCACGGAGCGCGGGCTGAGTACTAGTTAGTTATTAACTATCACAAACTGAATTGCGTCATAATTGGTTATCAGTTTTCTCCAAAAGAAAAAAAGGGAAATAAAATAAAATATTTCGTATCAACGGAGCGCAGGGCAGAAGGAGAAGTTCATCGTCTTTTCCTTCCAATAAGCTTCCCCCAAACTTTCGGCTGCTGAATCTGCGAATCTCCGGTGTTCGCTCAACCATGGCGTCGATCGCAAGATGGAGGCCAGCTCTTCTTATACTCTTACTGCAATTCTTTCTTTTGGTTCGCTCTCCTGTGCTTGCGATCTCACCTGGGTAACGCTTGTCTCTCTCCGTCGTCATTCCATATGCTTGGTTACTTCTTTCTACTCGATCTATTATTCTACTTCGTCAATAGCACGGACTAAAAAATAGTTAGGTTTTCCAATTCATGTTGGGCAGTTTGCAATGGCGATTTTGTCGCCTGGGCTGTAGCTTGGCTCTTACCGATTGAAGAATGTACTTTAGGGTTTAGGTTTTGATTCACTTCTGGGAATATAGAGTTGTAGCTGATGACCTTGTCTTCGTTTCTCTTGTAGGTCTGTCGATGGTTACACTATCAATGGCCGAATTAAGATCCCAGGTATGCTTCGATTCTTTTTCTCCCCTTTTTAACGACATATCACTGATATTGGTTGATTTGTATAGCTCAAAGATCATTTGAAGCAATAAGTACATTGAAGCGTACAACCTTATTGCTCGCATTATTTTGTCAACAAGTAGTTTATAGCAAAGGCCAATGGGGACCAATGCTTAAACAGGGCAGAATGGTCGCATGGGACTTGGTATCTCAATGAGTTTTGTCTGAATTAGCTGGGGAAAATACCAGCGACCTTGCTGTAGCTTTTCTATCCTGTGTTGAATGGTTTTAAGTGCGGTTGTAATGTAATTTATGTACCAACGCCTCTTATGATCACGTTTACGTGCTGTTGTGAGACCCTATTTTGAATCAAGGTTTTTTAATTATGGTTTTAATATAGCTGTTGTGCTGATACACCCTTTTGGAGCCTAGTAATGTGATTGATGTATTGATAACTCTTAAGTTCATAAATAATTATAAGAGGAGAAATAAAGAGTGTCAATGGATACTATGTGTACAAGAGTGTTAATCTAGTTAGTAATTAACTGAATGACTCGTACGAATGAAGTTGAATTTGATGATTTGTGAAAATGGCGGTAAAGATATTGTTGTTACTAAGCTTAGTTTGTCGAACATTAGGATGCTGTCATGCTGATGATGCTAAAGTGCTGTGTGCTTCATCAATCTTTATTCCGCACTTTAGCTGTTGGTTACATAAGTCAGTGTTTACATGTCGTCTCTTTCCAAACATGATCAGAAGATGCTGAAGTACGAAACCTCTATGTCAAATGTCAACTGAGTTGGACTTGATGTTTTTATTTCTTTTTTTTTAATAACGGTGAAATTTATTTCATATATGTGCAGTAGCAAAAGGTTTCGGTGCTCCTGTGAAAATATCAAATGTCAAAGTCATACTGAATGGTGGCCAAAATGTTACCTTTTTGAGGCCTGATGGATACTTCTCATTGTATGTCTATCTCCTTTGTTTTCTTACCCTCTATACTTTATTGTGATCATTGTTGATCCCTGGTTACTTTTCAAGCAAATATCATTCAACTATTTAACTTTTAATCTCCTTTTTATTTAAAATCGAGCCTTATACGTTGTAAGTGATACCAATAACTCTTCTTCCTTCTGTACAGCCATAATGTTCCCGCCGGGACACATTTGATTGAAGTGTCAGCAACTGGCTATTTCTTTTCTCCGGTGAGAATTCTCATCTGAAAGTCGTTTTGCTTTCCATCATTTTTATGTGGAGCCCTTCTCATGGTGAGACTGTCTAAAAATGTTTAGGTCCGAGTTGATGTTAGTGCTAGATTCCCGGGAAAGGTTCAGGCAGCGTTGACTGAGAACAGAAGAGGTCTGACTGAGTTGGTTTTGGAGCCATTGAGGGAAGAATATTATTATGAGGTTGTTATAGTGATGTGAACATTTCTGACTCTCACCTTTGTTTTCTTAAGTATGTGCTGCTGATTACTGCTTTTCTTCCTCTTATTGCAGATCAGAGAACCATTCTCCATAATGTCACTTGTCAAAAGCCCAATGGGACTGATGATAGGGTTTATGTTAGTTGTGGTGTTCTTGATGCCCAAATTAATGGAGAACATGGGTAAGTACCTGCTTTCAATTTTCAGTGCCTCCTTCCCCATATATGCCTTTTGGCCTTAATGGAATTGCATGATAGATACATCTAATCGAATATTCCACTGTACCCCATTGATGTTTGCTTTTAATTCATTGAAACTTCAGTCGCAATTACCACATAGTTCGCTTCGACTAACCGATTATTCTCAACATCTCAATTGATGTGGCGCTGAACAAACCGTATTCTCTTGCATCTTGAAACAGATCCTGAAGAAATGAAGCGAGCGCAAGAAGAAATGAGGAACCAAGGCATTCCCTCGCTGTCAAATTTTTTGCAGCCAGCTGCAGCAGCTGCTACTGCTAGGAGTGGTTAGAGATTTTACTTCCGAGTTCAATAGTTCATGTTCCTATTCGGTCCTGGTTGATTCCAAAGTTAACTATTCTACCAACATTCTGTATTTTATAACATTGCAAAAACTTGTTAAGACACTGGGAATGCAAGAAACTACTCTAGAATAGCGTACACTTCTCATCTTCGAATGAGTGTTTTGTAAGGAATACCAGCCATTATTCTAATGTTGCACAATAGAGACTTGGTGTAAAAATGTTTAGTATAATAGTTCCATGTTGGGTGGGTTGAAATTAAGAAAAATTATTTCCACTAACGCCGATCACTGTAGCGCAAGTCACGTTTTACTATTCATACAGACTCAAAATTACTATTCACTTTCTTTTGATTGGTTGGCTGTCTGTCGTGGACCATGATGTTGACCAAAGGAATTGCTGGTTGCTTCGCTGCCAATTCTAGCCCCTTTGCGCCTTCCTTTTCTTGTGTTGGGGTCTTTGAGTTTCACGTCGGCCTCAAATCCACTGTCTGGTATCATGGGTGCTAATTGCGAAGGTTTGGAAAGAGTGAAGGTCTTCGTGTCCCAAGGGTTTCTCGGGTATTGCGATCCTTCACATAGAAGTTGAGCGGCCCTTTGACGAGTTGGGTCTTCTGCGTGATGATGGGCGCTCTTTTTCTCACTTCCCTCTCTTGATCTCTGCTTTGGGATGGCCGCTGCCGTCTGTACCTGACCTGCAAGGAAGTTGAGTGACCATTTTCCCACCACCAGGCGCGGTGTCCGATGGAGGTGATTCAACCCTTTGGTCAATAGGAGAGATGGTTAAAGGCAAATAAGAAACCAGACACCATTCCTTCTCTCCCATTCCTTACTCATAATTCGATTTCTCTCTCAAGAGCAATACATTCTCACGTTATCTCTTCCCTCCCTCTCTCTCTCTCTCTCTCTCTCTCTCTCTCTCTCTCTCTCTCTCTCTCTCTCTCTCTCTCTCGGAACCGAGGTAGTTACGAGACGCCAGGGAATCGCCGATAACCCGCGATTTTGAGTATCCTTCATCGACGAAGAGAAGATTCGGAGATGGTCTCTCTCTCATCTCGGAGGCGAGGTAATTGTCAGCGACCAGGAAATCGTCGATCACCCGCCGGTTGTGAGGATCCATCTCCGACGAAGCGGAGATCCGAAGATGGTGCAGGGCCGATTCTCAAGCCAGAGCATGCTGATTCTCTTGCCCTTTGATTTTTTCTGGCGAAATCGAGGTGATTGACGGGATGGGGATCGCCGAGAACCTGCTGGTGATCATCGTTCTTCTCTCTCCCTCTCTTCTCGGAACTTCGACGGTTTGACCAGACACCGAAGAGCACAGGCTTTCCGGGTTAGTTTGTTTTCTATTTTTTTCCCGAATGGTTTTGTATCTCTCATTCTGCCTCAGAAGAATCTGTTTCATCTGTTTTCTGACAATATTCTGGCTTTGGATTCGTTGATAGGATTTTCTGAGAGCTGAGTTGAGCGTCGAATCTCAGCGAAAGGGTGCGGGACTATTAGATTGTTGAGTTCTAATGGTGTTCACATTGATTTGTAGGTTTTGTTTTAGTTTTTGACGGTTAATCTCTCTGTTCGTGGATGGATCCTTCTCTGTTTGACAGTGTTTTTTCTCCTATCCAGGGAAAATATCGGTGATGCATTACGTGTTTGAGATTCGAACGTCGGCGGCAATCGTATGAACTCCAGTCAGAGGGCAACATACTCGAAGGGTTGCTTTGATGTGAAGAGCAATTGAATTCTAACTTGGTGATTCATGTGGCGAGGTATTTAATAACTCATAAATCGATCACCATACCAATGTTTATGAGCCCTGGATGCCATGGAGTAGGAACTTTCGAAACCTTTTCCTAGCATTAAGGTTCTTTCTTAATTCCTTTGTTTTCTTATTGAAATCCTGTTAATATGATTTTCCTGTACTTTTTTATTCCGAATGCAGATTTTACAAACTGTAGAGATTGATTGGATGACTCCGCATATGTTAGAACTTAGAGGGGAAGCTCAAGTGATCATGGGTTCGGATCCAGGGCAGGAGTTACTTAATGAGTACTCCTCATCTTCTTTTTTTGAGTCTCAATTATATCTTTCTCATTTTATTCATGTTTTGGAGTGTGCTAAATCAAAGGCACTTTATCAAAATTTGGTGAGATGCTATCAAGTTTTTGGGTGTTAGAAATTCAGAGTTTTGCGGGCTATTTTGTTGTCCTCTTGCATGATGGATGATTTATGAGCATCTCACCTAGGATATTTTTGGGTAATTAGTTGTTTCAAATACTTACGAGTTCAAGGTTCACCTTTTGATAATCCAGCTAAAGTAATAGGAATTTGAGTGTGCCATATCATTGAAATCTCCATCAGAGAAGGTGATTAGCTTTGGAACAACTCAGCCTTTGACAAATGATCCTTCACATTTATGGCAGTCCATTCACAAATCGGCTGATCTAACGCTACAAGCATTTTTCTTGATCAACTTTTCCATCTCACTGACTTTCTTCTCTCCCAACCATTATCAGACAATTTATGCTTATATGCTTTTGCCGTATGTAAACTCTTTTGCAATTTGAACGACCTTATTTTGTGATTCCTTTGGTCATTTTGTAAAATTCAGAATGTCATCCTCTGTGTGTTCATGCGTGGATGCATGTGGCCATTGTTGGATCAACATGTATTCCCGTTGTGTGCGGTTGAGTTATATGGTCCGTCATGACATTGGTGGTCAGTAATTAAATATGGCAAAATAGTTGTTTCCATCTGTGTATTCTTTCAAGCTTTGCATTACAGTAACAACGAATTACATTACACAAATCATATGTATCCCGCGGCAGATCTGAAATACCAGAATTCACCTTTTGCACCATACATTAGAGTTGTCACGCTATGGAACAGCTCAGCCTTTGACAAATGATTATGCACACTAGCGACAGTCCATTCATAGACCAGCTTATCTAACTCTACAGGAATAATCAAACAATTTATGCTTATATGCTTTTGTTGTGTGGAAACTCTTTTGCAGTTTGAACCACCTCATTTTGTGACACCATTGGTCGTTTTGTAAAGTACCTTTGTGTGTCTATGCATGGATGCTGAACACTACATTATGCGGCCATTGCTGGATCAACATGTAGACCCATTTTGCATAATTAAATTAATGTGGTAACAAATACCAATTTAGCTATTTCCATGTGTTTGTTCTTACAGCCTTTGTATTTTATTGAAAAATGATTATAAAATCAAACTTATCCCGCGGCAGAGCACAGGCTAATTACTAGTTCGAATAGACTTTGAAGATTATTGAGTTTTGTCGCTACAGACTTTTTCGTTTTATCATGAAATAGTCATTCACCCACGTAATTGTTCGTTATTAGTATGAACTTATTTTGTAGTAGCAAATATCTGCTTATAAAATGAGATCTAATCTAACGGGCAATTATGAACTCCCATCTTCGTGATTGAAAGGACAAACATTATTTGTTACTCTATTGGAGGAAGTAAATATAAACACCCTTTTGTGTTGTTTTACCATTCGGTCACGTAAAGATGCTCTCTTAAGTTAAAGCACAAACATAACAGGTCATTATATCGTAGGCTTGGACCTTTTCACAGAAAAAGGAAAAGGAAAAAGCTGGGCTGGCCCAGATTTAAGCTGTGCTGCCTAACTTGATGGGCTAGAACTATGTTGGCCCAAGGCTAGGTAAGCTGTCCCGTCCCCACTATCGGCCGCTTCCTTTCCTCCAAAACTTAACCAAATTAACCTCTGCAAATTTTTGAAGGAATTGGATTGTCGCTCTCTTATTTGTTCTTCACTCCACCGGCGCAATCAACCATCCAACGACTTCCCACTTTTTTTTTTTCAAAAAAGTCTAGCTCTCCAGATCTCTCTGTTGGTACAATCGATTCATTTTTTGAGCGCGGAAATCTGTCCGTGATCGGAGCCGGCAGAATCCAACGATGGATAGCTTGCCGACGACGACGAAATCTGACCGGCGATGGAGATCCAAGAACCTTCAGACCTCCAAACCTTCTCTAGTAATGGCCTTCTTTTCTTGCCTCGCTTGGCTCTACGTTGCCGGCAGGTTAGTCCATCTCCCCTTTTCGACTCTCCTGATCATCATTGCAGAGAATTTATGGCATTCCACAGAAGTAGGGCATGGAGTCTGCTCCAAAATGTTTCAATGTGTGTTGCCGATGGTGTGAGCTGACGAGCGTGCATAGCAAAATTTGAATCCGATTCTTCCAATGGAACGCTCGCTCTTGAATCGCCGATTATGTATTTGCTTTTTGATTCATGGCTTCCTTTCATTGAAATTCAATCAGGTTGTGGCAAGATGCGGAGAACAGAACATTGCTCACTAATCTTCTTAAGACGAATTCCGCACAGGTCTATTTCCATCTTTTCTACGATTATGGGTCTCGTTTTAGTTTCATCTCCCTCGCTGTAGTTGTTTGGTGATCTCGTATTCTGTTTCTGTTGTTTGGATTAGACACCCAAGGTGCTTTCGGTGGAAGATAAGCTAGCCGTCCTTGGATGCAAGTACGTTCAATACCTTATTTCCGATTTGGATGGAGAGATATTTCTTCGCTTCATTGCTGATAACTATTTTGGTTATTAAATTGTAGGGACTTGGAGAGGAGGATTGTAGAGGCTGAGATGGAATTGACATTGGCCAAAAGTCAAGGATACCTCAAGAACCAGTTGCCACAGTCCAAGTCGGCTGCCGGCAAAAAGCTTCTGGCTGTTATCGGAGTTTACACCGGATTCGGCAGTCGCCTCAACAGAAATGTCTGTCGAGGGTCTTGGATGCCAAAAGGTACATGAGTGATGTGAATTGCACAATCCATCTAACTTCCATGTTCTTTGTTTTGGTCATTTTACCTCCTTATTATTGATCCTTTTTGTTGCCTGTCTGTGCTTTCGCATATTACCTACGTCACAATTGTAGAGAGAAATGGAAATGCTGTTGCCTTTACAATTCACAAAATTTGTTCATCAGTTACTACTTCTGGTTGATTTATAGGTGATGCCTTAGATAAGCTGGAAGAGAGAGGAATCGTGATCAGATTTGTCATTGGTCGGAGGTTTCCCATTCTACCTTGTCCTCATTTTAGTGTACATGTATTTTGCCTTTTATTGCTCCTCAAATTGCTTGGTTCCTTCTTGGGTCTTCCAAGGGCCGCTATGGCTTATAGATGTTCTGGATTTACATATAACGTTTTGTTTCAAAATCTGCAGTGCTAATCGAGGTGATAGCTTGGATCGAAACATTGACGAGGAAAATCGCTCAACAGGGGATTTCTTAATTCTTGTAGGTGATTGGAATTTCATGCTTTTTCTCATTCAAGTGATTCTTTATCCTGCATGGCCTTTTTAGTTTCTGTAGTTTAGCCCATTTCTGAACAATCTTCCTAAAATTCTTATTTTTTCTCTATATTTATAACAAACATTTAGGTGCATTGAGGATAATGGTCAATGCGTAGAACTTCTGGAAAAATGCTCATGATGTTATTTGATTTGAAACATTTGGGTTTGGCTGTTGCTATGGATGTGATTCACTTCGTAAAGATGACAACATGATTTATTATTTGTTGTCGATTTATCAGGAAGGTCATGAAGAGGCTCAAGAAGAATTGCCTAAGAAAGCTAAGTTCTTCTTCAGCACTGCTGTGCAGAACTGGGATGCAGATTTTTATGTCAAAGTTGATGACCAAATTAACCTTGATCTCGGTATAGTTTCTATCCGTTGTGCTAGCGCGGCAGTCTATTTACTGTACTTTTTTCTTCTAAATTAGTTTCACCTTCGTCAATGACAGAGGGATTAATTGGACTCCTGGAACGCCGCCGAGATCAAGCCAGTGCTTATATGGGATGTATGAAGTCAGGAGACGTTGTAACAGAAGAGTATGTGCTTCAGAGAATCTGAGTTTGGCCTAATTGCTTTTTGCTTGAAATCTTTTTAACAACCAATATTTCATTTGAACTACTATATCCTGTTGTTATGCAGGTGATGGAAACTTAACTGAAACTATGAGCCCCTTTCTCACTGCATATTCACTTGATATTATATAATATGTGGCATACAGACATAGTAATACTGTCTACCGTGTTCTCTGCCTAAGCTTAACTCTTTGGCCTATTTGGATGAATTTTTATTTGGACTGATGGTGTGACTTTGACGGGTTGATCATATTTGTAGTCGTTTGATTTCCACACTACATTGATGCTTGGTTCTCGCTTGGTCCAAACCTGCCTTAAATCTCTAGCTAGTGAATCCAGCTCTAAAGTAGTATTTTATTGTTTTTCAGGGGAAAACAGTGGTATGAGCCAGACTGGTGGAAATTCGGGGATGAGAAATCGTAAGCATCTCCGACTTCTCAATGGGTTTGTATTAGCTACTCCACCTTCCCGAGTCCCAATTCTGAATGCTCAGACCTTCAAGACTCATTGCGGATGTAGAAAATTATATTTCAATTGCTGATGGATATTACATTAGGGGGGATAGATTGATTATGTTTGACCTTCTGTCGTTTCAGGTACTTCCGCCATGCAGCTGCTCCACTTATCATACTCTCAAAAAATTGGGCTCAATACATTAACATTAACAGGTTAGTTTGGATGCTAGTATGCCACTGCTGGGTTTTTATGTTGTCCTCGTGTTGGTAAATAAACTTCGATTGCACAAGGAGTTCTCACTTTGCTTGACTGAATTTTAGAGCCTTCAGAACAATTGTTGTGTGAGATAGTCATCTCCAATGTTTAGTTGTTCCTCGTTTGATTTAATTTTTATGTTATCAGTAGAAATTTGTAGGGGGGAAAACTGAATCGAAGGACATTATAGAAGTCGTCAACTGCAATGTTAGCACTTGTGTTATTCAACTTGCACCATAACTTAAAGCATCATTGTTGCTTGCCAATTTGTTTATGTTCGAGATGTATCTAATTCCAAATACTTCTGTAAACAGTGCATCTCTAAAGACCTACGCTCATGATGATACATCAATCGGATCTTGGATGATGGGTGTCCAAGCAACATACATAGATGACAATCGCCTTTGCTGCTCTAGCATAAAGCAAGGTGAATGTTCTTCGATCTTTTTGTTTATCTTACGCTGTCCTTCATTACCAAGTCGGCCAAATCCAACTGTTTTGATTTGCAGATAAGGTCTGTTCCCTGGCCTGATGATCAGAGGAGCCGGGTTCCTCCTGTCTCGTGATTCTTTTGCTTCGGCGTACTGGGAGAAGCTGTTGTCGGGATATCCTTCTTGACAACATCTATTCATTGGATCCACCTCCATTCAGGACCGGTGGATTTCAGACCGATTCTTTTTACACTCAGAGGTACGCCAGCTGCAGATTCTTTTGACGGTAAGCAACAGGCTCAAACTAGATTTTTGTATAAATCCAGTGTGCCGATTGATTGCATTATCTAGGCACGGAATGAAGTTGCAAATTACAACAGAGGGTTGGTCTTTGAGTAGAATCACCAGAGTAGAGTTGTTGATTGTGTGTCGACGAGGCTTCTTTTGGTTCTCTAGTTTGTTAGTTTGACATCAGTTGTAAATGTATCTGCGGAGCATTCGAGCCTGCTCAAGTATTTAATAGGTTAACTAACTCATCAAAATGACTCGCAAAACACTCAAAAGGCCATGAATCAATGAGTATCGAAGTGTATGACTAATGTGTAAGATTCCTTTTGATAACCTCAAGACTGGAGACTATAGCTCCATCATTGGGAGGAGCAATGCTTACATTTAGACGGAGTCCATGAAGTTGGTTCAACGCCTTGAAATTTCTCAAACGTGAACTCCTCTTACAATTTTTCTACAGTATCACTTGCGAGGGAAGGATAAGAGGATGCCGACCTTTAAGAAGATTCCATGTAGTTCTCTCGTGCGAAGTTGGTTTAAAGCTTTGAGTTTTCTTAGAATTTCAACTGTTCTTAAAATCGTTGCCACAAACCACAATACCAATTGAGGGGAAGGGGATAATCGATAAGAGAATATTGTAATGTTGATTTTAGGCCGACTCCATCTAGTTCTCTCATTTCAAGTGGGTTCAACGCCTTGAATATTCTCAAAATGTGAACTACTCTTACAATCGTTTCCATAATATCACCTAGTGTTGTATCCGGCCCGTTGGCCGGTTCGTGGTCATTTGGGTATTTTTTATATTTAAATATAGGTGGTTCGACTTTTAGTATTGAGTACCGATGGTGCGAAAGAGTACCTTGATAGTTTATTCTTTTTTACTTTGAGTGTCCATTAACTTTATAATTTTTATTGAATCTGTGTTTCATTCTATACTTAACCATACTAAGTTTAAGTTAGACAACAAATGAAATGAAAAGCTATCTAGAATCTATATTCATGCCTTGAGATATTAAACTTCACTAAATCAAAGCAACAAATTTCAACAAAGATCTATATTTTCGTTATATATGAAATAAGTAGCTTGCAAATATCATTGTATCACTATTTTGATTTATATATTGTAGATTGATCATCTATTTGAATTTCAAAGGAAATAATACACAAAATGTTACTATAGATGTATTACATTTAAATAGTTTAAAGATATAAAATTCGAGGAAAAGAGGTAAAATGTGGTATGAAAATAGATTATTTGGACAATTATGTAAAGCATGGTCGTCCCATGATATTTGGAGGCCCTCTTCAAAAAATTAAAATTATCTATTATCTCTATGATTTCGTATTCTCCATGAGATCCTTTTCAATTTTTATTATAGATAAAATTATCTATTAAACTCTTCATCATACTCGTAATAAATCAACCATACACTAAAAATACAACCTACACTATTTGATCGGTAGTTAACGGATCTAACTGGAGGCCCCTAATATTCAGAGGCCTTGTGCAGGCACTGCGAACTGACACACCCTCTTGGCCGGCCCTGATGTAAAGCAACTAAGATTCGGAAATATTAGTATAGATGTATTAAATTTGTATATTTAAAGGAGACGAAAATGAAGAATATTTTGACTTGAAATGACCTTTATATGTTATTCATCCATTTGAACTTTAGTTACCGGAATTCAAAGTTAACCTTTAACAATATGCTCATATTTTCAAATGTTTATTACCTATGTTTTCAAAAGCGAAGCGGTTGTGGATGGAAGATGTCAATGACTCAAGATTAATGGTTTATCGTTATACAACTATTTTGGAATTGTTAATAGAAATATTCATTCATGTAAATAGTATAGATGTAAATAGTAGCATAATTAGGTTGAAGAAGTATTTAAGTTGTTTTCGTATTGGTTGGTCCACAATCCCAATGAGTCATGATAGAACGAAACTAAAAATAAGTGAAGTTTAAAGATGATAGTAAAAAGAACATTTTATATGGTTGCGATTCATTCATTTTTCTTCGACTTTAAGCAATTACATACAATAAAAAAATCAATTATTTTTTTGTTCAATTATTTAAAGAAGAATCCAAGGCACTGTTTGTGCAGGTTACTGTATGGAGTACAGCTCTAAGCCATATTTGGCGAGAACGATGTACCAGGCTCTATGGCAAGAAGTCCATCATGCTGCTAGGAGAGTTGATGAATGAAATTCATAGCGATGTCTTGTATCGAGTGACAGGGGATCCTATTCCCTAGGCCGAGTTGGAGTATATAGATAGATTATAGTTATAGAATTACTCTTTTTTAGTGTTATAGCCCTTTGCTGGGTGATTTTTGGTTGTATTGTTTGAGAGGCACGTCAGGTTTTTCTGATGGTTTGCTTGAGCTTAATGCAATTATTGATTTCACATAACAAAATATAGAGTCAATACGATGTGGATGGAATTATTATTTAACCTAAGACTAAACATGATCGTAATTGTACCTTTCGAAATTTAATGTAAAAAATAAAAAAATTAGACATGCTTATTTGAAAATTAAAAGAATAAAAAACAATAGAAATTGATTGTATTTTGCCAAGATTTCCCATTTTTCTTACTGTTCATGTTTTCCAAAGTCACTGTGAAATTAAGATTCTCAATCTTTTGAGGGTTGAAACTTGATTTATCTGTTTAACGTAAAAATCCGATGCGAAAAAATCTATTCAGAAGGAACCTCTTCGCAAACATCCACGCCACAACAATATATCAACTTCGTCATCTCGAAATTCAATTTGCTATCATTATCTCATTGTGGAGCTAAACTACTTTAAATAACCTCTGATTTTTTCCCAACCACACAAAATAAATCTACATAGAGCAAAGTCCAAATAATTATTATAATAATATTTATCTTAAACCAAATATTCATTTCCCTTAATCTTGATCTCATTTACAAAAAGAAAACCAAAAAAAGTCCAATAATAATGAGTGACTCTTGAGTACATCAACTTTTGAAAAATGGACAAAATTGCCCTTCCATCAAATAAGGAGAACCAATCAAAGTGCAAGGTGGCAACAATGACATAGAGTGAAGTGCATAATATATTGTGTAGATTGAGGGGAAGAGATCAGAGGATTGTTTAATTTTAACTATTTCGTAAATATTTTTTTTTAAATTTTCATTTTTTTCCAAAAGTACTCAATAGTTGATTAAAATTAATAAACATTCATGTGACACGGTCAAATAATTGATTATTTTTCATGTCATACTGACGAAAAGTTAATGATTTTACTATGTATTGTGTTTATAAAAGGGTAATGACTATTTATTAGCCAAATTTTTTCCGGATTTTTTATTAGTTAAACCTATCGAAATATTAAGAATTAGTCAAATGTTAACTTTTAGTTAGCAATTTCGTTAGTAATATTGACTTGCAACATGATACTAACTTGGAAAAAATACGAAGGTCAACATTTCAAAATTTTAGTATTTTAACTAAGAAAAGATTTACAAGGGCTAATGTTGAAACCTTTCCTGAAGAAAATATCATACCTGCCGCTGAAAATTATTAACGATAACATAAAAATGGCTAATATTTTGATGCATTATGAAAATTTTGGTTAATTAATAACATTTTAAAAAATTTGAATAATTAAAAAAACATTAGAATAAAAAATAGATATTACCCTTTAGAATCCTACCACTTATTTATGGAGGTTCTCCATCCAAACATACTTCATTCAAAATTTCTAGCTCTCTCAGAGAATTTAGAGAGGATATTTGTGTCATGTTAAATGTTAAAAAAACACCATACACATAAACCCTAAAAAAGTGGATATAAAGTAGCCGTCTCTCTAAAAAACGTCCTTTCTTAATAAACTAACTTATAACCCGGCCCGTTGGCCGGAATGTTTATATTTTAATATTTATATTTAATGTTATGTTTAAGTCTATTAATTCGATTAAGTTTATTGAAAATCATTCAATCGAGATGCTACATAAAGAATGAATATATAGGTCGAACATTCAGGGAAATACCCTCATTTAAGAATGTAAAAATGTATCATTATCCCATTTTCAAAATGATAATTAAGCCCTATTAAAATTATATTGGTTAATAGATTGTACAGAAATATATAATATAAAAGCTCATTAGAATTACCACACGATCTATTGATAGTTTGAAACTGAACTCACAATCCCACATAAATGGTTCAAAGCTCTCCTCGATGAATAACATGTCACTAATAAAAAAGAAATGGATTTATAAAAAAACAAAAATGAAGAGTTGTTGATTCAAGTAAATCATATGCTAACAACTCAACTAAAAGGAGACCATCAAAACTTGAGAGCAAATGACAAAATTAGATTTACATCTAATATACTAATAGACTCGATCAAAGTAATGAGACACAAAATTAGACACTCCTTATCTATAGGTTCCAGTAGTTTGAATAGTGAATCGACCTTAACTTTAGTAAATCAATCAATGATTCCTAGTTTTAACATAAACATAGGTTGTGGTAGTTGCAACAACCATAACACCTAAAGATCCAATAGTTTCCACTCTTCGTTGTACAACAAACTTTTTATCCCCTCCATCTTCAATCTCTCGACGTATATGTTTTAAACCAAAATTCAATTTCTAATCCTCATTCTGCAACTCCATTTATGCTACTTTGATAGACCTTCTCTCCATGAACCTGAATTTCTCTTTAATAGAGTTTCTTGTCAGCTTGATCTCCAACTCCTCAATCCTCTTACTTGTATTTGGCCAACTCATCTTCCTCGGGTCAGTTTTAATAAGCTCGTAAAACTAACACTCATCTTCAATTCCATCAATATGCTCTTCTCTTCCTTCTCCGTCTTCACCTGATCCAGTTCACTTCCATGCCCTTCAATACCCTCTCCATTTTCATTAATATCCTGATCATCTACCGCTTCTCTCACTTCAACTGCTCCGATTTTGCTTCTATGTCTTTCAATACCCTCATTGGTTCAATCACTACCCTGACCAACTACCTCTTCACTGCCTTCACTTGTTGCAAACTACTTCCATGACTTTTTACACACCTTCCTCAAAATCACAGTCAACTAACCAATATCAATCCATGGCCTTGGATCAGTTTTAAACTCTCTATGAACATCTCAATACCACAAAGTCTAAATCTAAATATTCTTTCAATTAATTATGAACTTGAGTTTATCAAAATCTAATCCACTCCTTCTATGTTGGAACTCCCATCCCCCAAGCTCATTTTTGGTTCATTTGATCCCACATAACCATGATATTATACCTATAACTAAAATAAATCAATATATTTTACGAAAAGAAAACGAACCATGAACTTTACCTGCTACCAAATCCAAACACAATTTCTTCCTCTCACCACATCCCTTCCCAAACCCAATATCAACTTTTACTCCAAGTTCACACCCACAACTCCCAGTGTGTTGTGTGAAAGCTTAATTTTAGCAATCATTATGCTTGCAATTAGATTAATGGACACCAGCAAACGCCAAAATTCCACCAGACGATGAGTTGTCTTCACTTTGAGTTTGTCGTAAAATTGCTGGCCTGATATGTTTATCAGTTTGGAGGCCATATGATGAGCAATACCGAATCAGTTGCAGCGAAGTTACCGGTCACAGTAATGACAATGTGTAACATGTGTTAACAAACGCGAATATGTGAAACATGAGATCGTCCTTAGTTACGCGACATGTAAATTGGTTCATTTGGTATGGAGGACACAAACCGTTAAAATTTTAAATTATTTGGGTGAGTTTGTATTTAGTGTTTTCAAAATCGTGGTATATGAGTTAGGTGGTTAAATTATCTAAACCCAAACGAACCGACCCACGTACACCCCTAGGAAGATTTTCAAAACTTAGTATTTAACCGGACAAAAGTGTTCAGAGAACCAGTCCCCTATAGTTTGCAGAAAGATATGATTGCTTCACTATAGTTATGGAAATTAATGGTTAAAGAATTCTATATCGCTTCTACATATTCAATACTATAATTTGATATGAAATATTCGAACCAACAATATTTTGGTTGCAAATTTATGGTTATCGTCTATTTATAAGATAGATAAAATTTTAAATTAAGTATTAAACTATAATTAAAATAAAAAATATCAAAATCGAAGTATCAAAATACTAAATAAGTACTTACGGAATATTTATTGGGCTAGCTAACTGTTGAAAAGTTATGTGATTTCATATTTTAGCTTGGTATATATTTTTAATTAAAAAATACAACAAATCTACATAGTCTGATTGATTTTAAACCTTCACTTTGTTTGAATTGACCATGGTTCAAATCTCAATATGTCTATCTTTTTCTGTAAATAAATAAAAATACAGATAATTGTGAAGACAAAAATGTCATTCCTAATTTCCTTCTCATTGCGTGAAATTTGAAAAGGGAGATTAAGTTTCAAATAATTAAATCATATACCCTAAATCTATAGAACTTAAACCCTAATATCATATACTAAGAACATAATCAATGATTCTGATTCACCAAGATGTATACAACATACCATATGCACTATATTAGGTTTTAGAGTTTAGTTACGTGATTAATCTATGGTCTAAATAATGTTATTTAACTAAAGAGATGCACTAACCCTCAATCCATCGAGCGTACCATAGAATTTCCAATGTATATACAGGTACCATTGTTTGTTAAATTTAGCCAATGATAATTGGCTCATTTGTCAATGGTATTTACTATTTAGTCTTTCAATTCTATGCTTATAATTGTCAACCATTAGGGAAATTGTTAGCCAATGATTTTTGGTCATTCACTTATAGGCTATAGCATTGAAAATGTCTCGTTACAAAACCATAGATCACAAATGTCAAATTTTATGTTTTGAAATAAAATTTTGTATAGCACTTTTGTAAACAATCCTTGTATTCCTACAAACTACAAAGTCATGTAACCTAATAAATGTAAAAGTTGTAAGACATACATAAACTCAAAATATACTATTTGATTCTTGGTGAAGAATAGTGTGATTAGAAGAACTCACTTAGTTGATTCATAAAGCCAGGTATATCATGATGATTCACTTTGTAAATAATTACAGTTATTAATTAATTCGATGATTAATTGTTGCGGTGGATTGTCCCATGATTTTGAGATATTTCAGTATTTTGTCTCTTTAATTCAAAAAATACATAAACATTGTTGCAGTCCAGTTGGTTAGGAATATTGGCTATCAATCTGAAGGACTTGAGTTCAAGTCTTTGTAATGACATTTTCTTTCCGAAAGAAGATATTTAAGTTCTAAGTTGAACTTACAAATTTACCCCTAGCTACAATTAAGGAGAGTGCAAGGAATTTGAAATGTATAGGACTCGAGTTCAAGTATTTGTAATGATATGTAAGTTCTAAGTTGAACTGATAAATTTACCCTTAGCTACAATTAAGGAGAACTGCTATATATTACAGAGGGACGATGAGAAAAGTAATTTTGATTAAAACTTAGTATGTTATAAAAACTTTCGTAGTGGATATAAGGTAGCCATATAATTAATAATTCACAATTAATTATTATATATTTTATTTAATAAATCATTTAAAAACATAAAAAACAGTGAGAATAATAATTTTTGTTACAAATTTTCAGGCATCTAATTAGAGCTCTCCACTTAGCAAATTTCCTCTCCTTAATTCTTAATACCCATTTCTAAAAAAAATCTCTCTACCCTAACATTTAGAAAAATTATATTTAATGTGATTTGAACAATGACATTCATTCCAATATGATTTAAACTAAAATATTTGTCCTTCTAAGAACTTGGTCAAAGTCACGTGTTATGTTCATTCATGACAATGATACTAGGAATTATAAAATGCTATATAGTATTGGTGTTATAGTTTTCCCCCTTTATGATACAATATGAAATTGTACCTTTAACGTTATGGTACAACTTCAGATTGTACCTATACATTTTGTACAAATTCTTTTATGGTACAACTTGAACTTGTACTTTTATTTGATGGTACAACTTCAAGTTATAAAGTTGTACCATAACATAATGATACAAATCCTTTATGGTACAACCTAAACTTATACATTTAATGTTAGTGTACAACTTTAAGTTGTACACTAAAACACCGATGTTATATAGCATAATAGAAGTGCTCTCATAAGTACACCAATATAGTATGAAATTTCTAAAATCTTAGTATAATTGTATTATATCGTTACTAAATTGTATACATATCGCTTCCATTCCCATTTCAATTTTAAAGTTACATATATTAAATAGAAAATTTATATTTAATATGATTTACACAATAATTTTTGTTCTGATATGTTTCAAATGAAAATTATCCTTCTAAATAACATGGTTGCAGACATGTGTTAGGTTTTTTTTTTATGATAATGATACGTAATGTAACACCCCGTGTTCCGGTTTAAGTTCGACCGAATGGTTGGATTGACGGTTACATACGATGGGATAAAACCGCAAATTAGGAATAATAGCATTATCATTATTGTTATTATATTATATTATTATTGTTTAAAAAAAAGGGGGGAAGGGAGACGGAAAATCCCCCCATCCGTGACCCCTCTCTCTCTCCTGTGGCCAATTAATTGGTCATTCAGCTTCCCTTCCACACAACAACGAAAATGGCAGGAAGAAGAAAGGAATGAAAAGAAAGTAAAACCCCAGTCCTATTCTTTATCTCGCTCTCTCACTCTCTAGCTCCTTCAACAGCCGTCGTCGAGTGCGAAGAGTTGGAAAAGTTACATGAAATGGTGCGGATAGGGGAGAGGAGCTGGGAGTCATCGTCACCGGAGGAACGTGAAAGAGTGATCATAATCCGTTGATGGGGAGATGAGGAAGAGGTAAGGATCTATTTTATTGAATTCGATAATGTTGATGACTACCGTAATGGACTAGCTAGCTGCTCTACGTCAAGGGCTAAATTTTATGATTTAGAGGAAGCTTTAGAGGGGAAGGAAGGTTACAGCTTGGTCCATTTAATTTTAGAATCGGTTTGGCAAGGTAAATTGTTGGCGCTTACAATAAAGCGATCTCATGCTTATGAATTAGGATGAGGGGGGAATGGAATTGGTTGATCAATTAATTTGGACAAGAGATAGGAGAGATTGGTGTAGTAGTTATAATAATGATCTTGAAAGTACCCATAAGAAAGGTGGAATGCATGAATTGGGAATTGGGTACGTAACGTGGTGATGATCATTGGTGCGTTAAGGTGAGGAAGAAGGTAATTTGGAGCAACAAGTCTAACTTTGGCATTATCTGGGTAGTGGGTAGTTATAAGTAGTGGGGCTATCATATATGCGCCCAATAATGATCAATGAGAGGATTAGTGCATGGATTTAACGATGAAGTTGTAGATCACCTATATATGGGTTCTAAAATTAGAGATAATTGCTACATGCTCTCGCGATAGAGAAAGGAAAAGGGAACGATATCATAATAGCGGGCAAAGGAATGGACCAGGGGAAAGCATGGTTCTCGCGAATTCAAGTCAACAAGGTTACATGGTGAGTGTAAAGGGGGTAAAATCTCTGTCAAGATCTTTTTAGTTTATGCTTTTCGTTCAAGTTATTAATTAGTTAATTTTTGAGTAATATGCGATGTGTGTGTGAGGCATCCCACCGCCTGTAAGGGTGGAGGCACGCGTTGTGCTATGTATGAATGTATGTGATGTTTGTATGGTTGATGATATGAGGAACCACCGGGCGGTTGGGCCACTACTGGACGCGGTAGATGGTCAGGTCACTACTGGACGGCGATACGTAACGCAGTAGTTGACCGGGCATGAACTGGACGGCGATACGTAACGCAGTACCATTGCCTTGAGGATATGGACACCGGACGACGATACGTAACGCGGTGATTCCCTAGTAATAAGTATATAAGTTAAGGAAGTAGTAGAGAACTTCTATGTTTTGAGGATAAAAGTTGAGAACCTCTTAGGAGTTAATGTTGAAATGAGTTGATAAGGTTGATTATTTAAGAGCAGAAAGCGAGAACGGCTTTCATGCTAGGAAGGCATTCCCTTAATAATGTGTTTAGTAAGGAGTTCGCCTAGGGCAAAGACCTTAGGAAGTAACGACGAGACTGACCCCTTCTCACTCACCAGGTCGAGGGAAGGTTAGCAGAAGTGGATCGCGAGGTGAAGCAGGGAGAGGCGAGTAGCGGTATCATCGTTGACGTAATATCAGGAAGCTCATGAGGAGTCAAGTTAGAATAGTTAAATTTTATTGTTTCATGGTTATTAGTATAAACTGGAGATTCTGTGTTAAGTTATTTTAAGTGTTTGAGATTGAGATTTTGCCCAGGTGTTGAGGCTTTTTGTTTAAAATTCTTCAATAGTGTCAGTTTGTTTATTTTAAAATGTGGTTTGGGTTGCTCCAGAGTAACCAGTTTTTGGGTTGAGTTATGGTTTGGTTTTTGAAAAAGATCGGGATGTTACCCATAATTACACAAATATGGTGTGGAATCGGTAAATTTTGAGTATAATTTTTGTACAATGGTAGAATAAAACTGAAATTATTGTGGTATTGTTTTTGTGCCACAGTAATGTTCGGCAATCTCATCCATGTGATGGCATTGTTGATAGACTTGCATTTTTTTATAACATCCCAAATTGAAGTTATTTATAGATCATATAAAATATATAAATAATCAATTAGGGTATGGTTTAGAGCGAAGACTTGGAAAATAGATTATTGGATATCTCTAATTTGCTCTTACAAAAATGAAATAGTAAGTATTAGTAGGTATTAGATTTGTTGTTGTATTGCATATTGTTAATTGGGCAACCATTATGTTGCATGCAAAAATTGTATGTTCTGGGTCATACATCTCATTTTCTTCCATAGATTAGTATGCATACCAGAATATCTTTTCAAAGCTCGCGAGCATCCTATAATCAAGGTGGTATAACCTTCTCATAATCAAATGATATTCTCACTATTAAAGAATCGTCAACATTAAAGCCAAAATTGTATTTGATATGACAACTCAATAAAGGAGTTGGATCTGTAGTCATGTTTCTGGGCTAATTATCATAACTGGTCACTAAACTATTCTCTTTGTATAAAACGGTCACAAACCTTTAATTTTCCACGTTTTAGTAACATATGTTTGGACTAATAACAAAACGATAATTCCGTTCATCTCCATCCAAAAGTCCGTTAATTTATTCCAGTCAGCATACCATATCATCAACAAATAATAATAATAAAATTAATCAACCAAACCAAACTCAACCCACCCAAAAATTATAAAATTACAAACCCAATTCACCAGTATCATCCACCAGGGTCTTTCAATCTACCAGAATTTCAAACACAAAACAATAAAGAAATCGAAAATGAACTGGAACTCTGGAAGACATCGAGATTCCAATTTCCCGTACCATCCAAGAAAAGGGCCTGATTCACGAAATTGTCTCAAAACCACTCCTCCGCCGTCGCGTGATTTCTTTCTGATTCCTCCTCCACTACAACGCCACAAGGCGTTGCAGTAGTCGCGATGGCGGTGGGGGAGGAGGAGATGATCCTGCTCTTAAACGAATCGAGCCGCGAATTCAACCTATCCAGAGCCTCCGCCCACCTTCTCCTCAGCAGCGCGAGGGCAGCACCATTACCTGGCAGGTGGAGGATTGCAGCATCTTCCACGGTGGCGAGGCGAGGAAGAGAGGGCCTTGAAGAAGAAGCGGAGCTGCGTTCCATTTCGAGAGCGGGGATGGAATTTTATTGGGTATAATTTTGGGTTTGGTTGAGTTTGGTTTGGTTGGGTATAATTGGTTTGGTTTATTGATTTTTTTATTATTATTTGTTGATGATATGGCGTACTGATTGGAGTAAACTAACGGACTTTTGGATGGAGATGGACGGAATTGCCTTTTTGTTATTAGTCCAAACATTTGTTACTGAAACGTGCAAAATTGAAATTTTTTTACCATTTTGTACAAAGTGAATAGTTTTGTGATCATGTATGATAATTAGCCCATGTTTCTCGGATGTGACTCACAATTGATTTTAAGGCAAATACTATTTCTCATTTTGATATGATAATTATTGACTAGGAAAGGCAAATTAATATTTTCACAATGACAACATGAATTGGACTCTGCGATTCAAATTTGAAAATATTATAAATGTTGTTACTTTTTCTGAAGATCATGTTATTTGGGTGCAAATACCCAAACATGTGATTAAGGATTGACAATGTTTGTTTCAAACACCACATAGTATATGCTTTTGAGAAATTCAGATGACATGTCAATTCAAACAAATTGGTGATCAAGTTCTAATCAAATACACACTCCAAATTTGTGATGATATTCCAACAATATTAGCTTATAAGCTTGATTTCATGAAACAAGATGATATTAAAATTTTGCTTTCATGAAACAATAAAGAAACTATTGATGGAGGAAACAAGTTTCATTATTAACGATAAATGCGAAGTTACTAGCAATAGAATTATAGATTGGTTTGTATAATTGCTATTGTTATTTATGTTATTTACTAAATACTAGTGTGGAGCCCCGGCCAGTTGGACGGAGGAAAGTGATGTATGAATTTTGAGAATTTAATAGGGTGTATAGCTTATTATTGTATAGTTTTTTTTAAACACGTGATAAAGATAGTTAATTTTAGCAGGAAATAGGCATGGATGATGTAACGAATAAAAAATCAGCCTTATGAACCAAGTTCGAGTACTTGTTACCTTGTCAAACAATATTATTTCTGGTAATATGATGAGGTGGAGTAAGTTTCATAAAACATATTTTCAGAAAACCTAATAAAAATCGCCTATCCCACCGGTATTCGGAAAATGAGAATCTCACAATCGTCGCTAGCTTTTACTCGACCCGCTGGTCGATTAATTTTCTTTATAAAACTTTCATCTTGTCGTCAAAGTTATTAATTCGAATAGAACAATTCATTCATCAACTCACGGAAGGGGTTAAATGATTAACATAGGATCCAACTCGATTAGTCTAGTTTTTCTAATTTGAAACATATATTATGCTATTATTTTGTATCTTAGTGGCTAAAATATAAGATATTTTAAAGTTATTAAATGGTTTGACCTCAACCAACCCGAAAAGTCCAATTTTTATCATTTCAAATATATATTTTGTAATTTTGATATCATAATAATTAAATTATAGTGTATTTTATAGGGAATCATTTGGTATTTGTTAGTAAAAAAACTAAACAGAAAGATCCATTTGGTTATTTTTAACATTAAAATGATCATAAACTTTTCCAGTTTCCTTTCGAATTTCCATGGTTTTTTCCTGAAGTAGTGATGTGCAAATGGTGAATTGCGGTCTTCTCTTTTTTCCAATATTTTTTATTTACAAATAGAAAGTCTGAAAGTAAAGAATAATTGAAGTTTGGCATGTGGTTGGTTAAACAGGTCGAACTGCCCGTTTGATAAAGCATAATTTATAATCACATGGTTCCTGACACCTGATTAAAATCTCAATTCACCAGTTCGCCAGCTGAGTCTGTGTTCATGACTATTTTTTAGTAACATACTTAAAAAAAATTATTGTATTTTATGTATGACTTCTATGCACTTTAAACTCAACTCAATGTTTTTTTATCCTTCCACCTCAAGGGTAATCAATAAAAAACCAAGTAGTAACCTATATGTAACTCATGCACTCTAATATAGCATGCTCATCTATAAACCATACATGAAACTCTATGTCCTAAAATTTGATAAGAACAAGTTTAACAATGGACTCAATATCGGCTTTACAACCATACTAATATGCGACACTTCCGCTTTTTTTTATAGACACTTCTGCTATTAAAATCGACTCAGTGTCCTTAAACAACTTTTATTTTTTTTTATTTTCCCATCTGCTTTCCCCTTCCTACAGACTAAATCGTAACTCCCAAACTCCAATCTTACCAGAGCATTTCACATCTTCCTTGAGCTAGAGCTTCTGGGCGCTTCTATGAATCAATCATTCAAGTGTATGTCCTTCTAAACCCAACTCAACATATGAATCCATCCAGTCTCCTAACCCACGCAGCTTCTCAATTTTCCCACCAACCAAAAATTTCAGCCCCCTTGAAATTTCAGAATTCGTAGACTCCGCCCCACCGCCGTCGAACTTCAATCTCGTTGTGGTTCAATCACAGAGAAATAAAACCCAAACGTCAACGGTAACCCCAAGATTGTCAACTAGACGAAAATGACACCAAAACATACATCAAACTATGAGTCCTTGCCTCATTTGCTGCTTACACACAATGCATTAGCCGCCGGGTCTTTAATAGCAATAGAAGTGTCTTTCATTGACCATATCTCAGCCTTAGTTTCTCTTTTCTTTCAGATATCTCCTTCACTCTACACATTGAGTTTATAGACAGAGTATGCAACCATAACAAAAAATGAAATAGTTATTTAATCTTAAATTTGTGAAATAGTGATGTAAAAGCAGAGTTAATGAAACAAAAAGCTCGGGATGATACACGCGCACACATACACACATATAGAAACACAACGCAAATCAAACATATAAGATACGTGGACATTTTACAAACGAAGGTCAATATGTATTCAATTATTTGAGGGGGGTGCGCTGAGTAGGATTCAAAGATCTTAGATAGATTGTAGTTAACCATTCACATAACTCAGTAGAACCCTTAATATAATTTTGAGTGAGTGGACTATGAAGCTGAAATAACCAAATTGAACACTGGTACCTAAACAGAGACTTACAGTATTCATGACAGAGGGATGCCTCAACTATCCTGCTCACTGTATAACTGAAACTTCTACGTACCGTATGTTCTTTGAGGATTCGAAGGGCCTTAACTGTGATCAACACCACCTCTGCAACTGTTTCATCGACGTCCTCTGAAAAACCGTCGTTGGGCAGGCAGCGCAGGCCTGCAGATTTGGCATCTGCTACCGCAACCCCACAGAGTCGCTACTGCCCCACTCTTTAATTATGGCCTCCACAGAACCGGTTTGGGCCACCGCTCAATCTCATTGCTTCATCAGCTAGTTATTTAAGGCTTAAATTATTGATCATAAGAAAAACCAAACAGGATGATAGCTTAGGAAAATTGTAAGAAGTACAATCTTCATGACCGATCTTCTACAAAAACTACTTGCTGCCATTAAATGATCAGAAATCATGGAAAAAGATAAATAGAGTAACCGAAGCATGAAGAATAGTCAAGTATTAAGGACGTAAGAAAAAAACAAAGTGAATGTTTCCTTTGGATTATATATACTCAAAAGCACGTTAACTCTAAAGTCCCCAGCACCACTCAAGCATGGACAAACCAACACAATGTCAAAATTTCTCCACACCTGGATCATCAAAACTTAAAGTCAAGACTACAGTAACCAATCAAGTATGCTAAGAGGAAAAGAAAAGTTATTTACGAAGCTCCTTATATCTAGTCCAGTCACTTTTCTCCCACCACTACCAAGAAAGATCAAGAAACCCAATTAAAAGCAATCCCATCTAGAATGATACTTACTCTCATTGTACAATGGATTGTAAATATGATTATAAACAATTGGAAGAACACAAATCCAACTAATGCAACATCAAGATAAGTAGAGGTTGGATTAACATAACCATTATTCATTCACCATATGCCCGTTATCATTTGATTGTAGTTTCATACCATTTATTTCCATTGTAACGAACCATCCTACGATTTTCCCCCATGGAAGTCCATATACATCTGTAACCCTTTTCTCCCACATCTTCCCCACTTTCCCGGTACCAAGTGCTGCCATCTTCCCTTAGTCTCAGACTCATTACCAAGTTCATTGTTCAGGTTGAACGCCTCCCAACATTTAGTTTAGAGAAAAAACAAAACCACAACTAATTATCGACATAAACAATCCAGCTCATCATTATTCAGAGATTATCCATAATCTATAACTTGCATACTCAAAGAAGAAGAAAAAACAATGAAAGAGAAATACATGGTCGTTTGTAGCTATTGAATGATAGCAGTGCTTTATATAATTTAATCTCCAAAACCCAACAATCCAAGACATAAGTGAAGTAAATATGAGGATGGTTTCAATCATTCATCACCTATATACAACTGAGATAGAGGCGTTCCAATTACACAGCTGCACTACGTGGGAGAGAAAGAAATCCTTAACAGTGTAGTGGGTGTTTACGTTCCAGGAGGTGCTGCTTTTCGTGGACTGAATAGGTGCTTCAAGCCGTCGAGGAGATCATAATCACGCCGCTCTTAGATTCATCACCTATTCCAGACTGAGATAGTACACTGATATAAGACTCTTAGGCGTTCTAATACCACAGGTGAAGTACGGTAGAACAAAGGTAATCCTTACCGATGGAGGATGCGATTCCAAAAATAAGAGGAAAGTGTAGTGGGTGTTCCAGGAGGAAAAGGAAATCCCCATTCGCTTTCGTAACTTTCTTGCTTTGATTCAGTGGTGGAATTGCGTTTTCAAAGAATCAGAGGCGAGTGTAGTGGATCGTTCGAAGAGGTTCAGGAAATCCCTTGGCGCTGTCGTAATCGTAACTCGCTTGATTTGATTCAGTGGCGGGGTTGCTGTAAGGGAACCGACGAGCAATCAATCGGGGGCAGTAATCAATCCACTGGCTACGATTTCATGAGGGAGACAGTTGTTCGAAAAAGCAATTGGTGCCAGAGGAGATGAGCGGTTGTCGGATCCCCGTTGCAGAGTGCGATTGCGACAG